ATTTCCAGCCTGCGATGCGGATTTCGCCTTCCCATTGTTGCGGGACTTGTTGGTGCTTCGCGGCTGGACAGCAGCCACCTGATCTCCGTCACTTGATGCTGGAGTGGCTGCTGGGTTATCTCCACTGTCCTGCTGGACTGCAACGAAGTGCTGCTGTCGCGGACCAGTTCGTACCTTCTCCACATAGGTCGGCTGCCATGTTGATTTCTCGTGTGCAACTGACCTGTTGGTCTTGATGATCTCCCTTGCTTTGTCAATAATCTCAGCAAAGGTTGAGTACTGCTCGTGATCACCAAGAGCCTGGCTCAATGCAGCACAGGACCTGTTGTAGAACTCACGGCGTAGATGCTCGAATGGTAAGTTCAGATTGGGCACAGCCGCAATCTTCTGCCACTCCGTGAGCCAGTCCCGTGTTGTTGTGTTGCCCTGTGACATGGCGAACAGTCGGTTGATGGCGAGTGCTGGCGCGTCGTCGACGATGACCTGCTTCTTCCACAGCCGTGTCAGTTCTTCCCATGTAATCTTGTCCTTGAGGTCCGGTACGTCGACGCCGTGGGAGGTTGCCAGGTGGGTCAACCAGGTCTGGCATCCGCCCTCTAAGTTCACGAACAGGGCGCCGATGTACTTGTGCTTAGCGACGGGCAGAATCCTGAGTTGCGTCGTGAATGCCTCCCACCAGAGGGTCGGATCCTGCTGTGTGTAGTCATCGAACTTTTCTAGTTGGAAAGTTGGCATCTTCTGATTGCCATCTGCGTTCGTCGACTGCAGCTGTTGGACCTCGGTCTTCAAGGTATGCAGCTGAGTGCTGATGGTGGACGGCGCAGCGAAGGTGCTAATGTCGCCGAGCATTGCCAGGATGTGGTCAACACATTCCTCCAGTTGGTGGCTAGAGGGTGCACTGCTGGAAGCCCCAGCAGATGGTCCTGGTACAGCCTGTTCCAGGTCCAGCAATCGGGCATTGAGTGCCCGAGTTGCATCCTCGTGGCTCTGCACTGTGCGGCGGACCGTCGCCAACTCCTGATGCTGTTGCGTCAGGTCCCGGTATTGTCTCTCCAACTCTGACCGTTGGTAGTTGCAAGCATACAGCAACCGCGTCACGAGTTTGGAGAGGAACTCCTTGTGCTTCTCTTCCGGTGTTGGATTGTCGCCGTTCGGTTGAAAGTGCCAGAACTTGAGTCTGTCGATGCTGGTGGCTTCATGCCGCTGCAGCATATCCTGGGCTTCCTTGCAGCGAGCCTGGGTATCTGCGCCTGCTTCGGCCTGTAGCCGCAGCTTCTCTGCTGCTGCCGCTTCGTCAGCCTGTAGCTGGGCAGCCTTGGCTGCCAGCTGGCGTTGCTCCTCAGCCGCGATTAGTGCGAGCTGAGCTTCGAACCGCTATCGGTATTCGGCAATGGATTCATTTGCCAGTTGGCCTGTCATGCCCAAAAGTGAGCCTGTCATGGTGGCGGGTCACTGCTGACATGGCACTGTGTCTGACGTGGTACTGCTGACGTGGCACTGTGTCGGACGTCACTGCTGATGTGGCACTGTCTGACGTGGCACTGCTGTCGTGGCACTGCTGACGTGGCACTGCTGACGTGGCACTGTGACGTGGCACTGCTGATCTGGCACTGTGACGTGGCACTGTGACGTGGCACTGCTGACGTGGCACTGTACCGAAACGGGATGCATGC